ATCAGGCCTCTTCATTGAACACAGTTTTGTGGTTTGGAGCTCTTACCATCCTACCTGTTTTACCCAAAGTTTCACTCCCGCTGCAGTATTCTTTAAAAGACGTCATCTTTGCAGAGCGAATTATCCTCTTATACTCCCTTTACGTGCAGCGATAGCATTCCCAGTCCATCTCAAAATTAGTTTTCAGCGCCCGGTTTCTCGACTCACCCCTTAACTTATGAAACTCTTTGGTCCACCAGGGACAAGCCTTATCCAAACTCACAAGTAGTGCAGCGTTTAAATTCACCACCGCCTCACTAATGACTTGAGTGCATCGTATCCTTTGTGGCCTCGTCGTGGTCTGGTTACCAAGCTCCTCCTTAAAACACGGCCAGTCCATTTTTTTTTCAAGTTTCGCATTGACGCAGGCGAGTTTATTGAATTGTATTCTGATTCAAAGATAATTATTTAATGGTAATAAAACATCAGATTTTGCATCTGTACACATTCCTATGTCCAAATCTGTAGGCAAAGAGCAAAATCAAAAAGTTGCAAAGAGTAATACGCTTTGTATTCAAAATCGTATACGCCAATTAATAAATTCAGCCGTACAACTTGTGTAGTTGCAGTGCACATCAATCGAATTGTTTTACGATTTTTATTTCCATTTTTTCCTAACCATTTGTTATGCGACCACAAGGTCGTTATTATATACGCTTTTAAAAAACTGCTGCGCTTTTGCAGTGTACTGTGAAGGCAGAGCGAAATAAAAAAAATATCATCTATAACAGTAGCACTTAGCCAACTACAACAGTGTCAATGGGTCGCTTGTGGCGGCAGCTCATTTCTAACTACAGCTGGCGCTCAAAAACTCCGGAAAAAAAATAATGCTCGCCGCCAGTTAGTCGCTCACTCAGCGCCAGAGCAGTCAGTGTCAGCTGATAAAATCGGCGCACATCCACAAACTTGAACTTGAAAGCGCTGGCACTAATGGCGCATGCCAATGATATTGGCAATTGTAAAGCAATGTAGGCAACTAGAAGTAGAGAATATTTATTTAAGAAAAAAGTTGGGCTAGACAAGCGAATTGCAGGTGAGAAGAATCAATTTTCAATCGCTTATGCTTAACGCTAATGCATGTAAGTATTTAAAAGCTTGCATTATTTTCATATTTCCGATTGTGATTCTCAATTTTGCGGTAAATCGCTCGTGGCGCTCAATTATTGGCGAGTCTCAACGTTGCAAAATATTTAAATTATTTTCGGAATTGTTCTATACTTTTCGACGCTTTTGAAATTTCGAAAAACAAGTTGCATTTAGCGTTTTCTCTAAAGTGAACACAAAAGACTTAAGCAACGAACCTGACGGCATGAAATTGAAATGCCTGCAGTAATTAGCAAATAGCGAGATTTGGAAATAGCGACTAATGCTTTAGTTTAAAACTAAGATTTTTATATTCTTATTCTTTCTATGTTCAGATAAAATCGCGTTTATGTCAATCAAATGGCTATCCGCTTGCGCCGGTGTCCTTTGTTTTTTCGTTACATTTCTTGCCTTTGCCTTTTTCATCTTTTAGCATTTACATGAAACTAAGCGCATAGTTACTTGAAATTTAAGTATTCATAAAATGTTTTTTTTTTTTTTGCTAGTTTTTAATATAGAAAATCGCGCAACGATGCGTAACAATTAAGCATGCAAAAGTTAAGTGGAAAAAAAAATACTAAACCGATAAAATGTTAAACTTTAAATAAATATTTTGTTGTCTCAAAGTTGAAGGTTATTGCGTTAACTGCATAACATGAAAATACATAAAATATAAATATTAAAATAGATGCCATATATGTACTGCTACAGCTTTTGAACTAACAAGCGAGTCTCCTACTAATTACTTGAAAGTGTTTCTGCTTCTTCCATTCGAAATAGCTAACAAATGACTCAAACTTAAAGTTCGCAATTTTTAACGAAATTGGCCGACACACTTTCGGGTAATAAGGTCCTCCTTATAATAATATGTTCAGACATTCAGCAAAATAGGGGAAACTGGACATAAATTTTTGACCGCTTAAAAACTGGACATACATAATTTTTTTCCAATTAAAAATCAGAGAACTACTTTTTAGGCTTTTTAAAACTGAACATAAATTTAGGGTCACATAAAAGCTAGACATATATATCTATAGTTAAAAACGGAGCACACATTTTTGTCATTTTAGAACCTGGGAATAATTTTTTAGTCGTTTTAAAACTAGCCATAAACTTATGGTCACATAAAACCTGAACATATTTATTTGGCCATTCAAAAATTTTGCGAACATAATTTTTTGTCGTGCCATAAATATATGGTCATTACAGATCTGTGCATAATGTTTTATACTTCTTAAAATTAAAAAATGTTTTTTTTTAGTTTTTATGGTCAAAAAATTATTTCTCATTTTTAAATGGTCAAACCTTTGTTTGGTGTTATTGAGCCAAAAACTTTATTAAAATTTTTTAAATAATCACAACTTTGTGTCCAATTTTTGAATGGCCAAAATTTTAGGTGCCATTTTTAAATCACCAAACCTTAGCGTCAAATTTTTCAATTAAAAATAATAATAGATTGGCGAAAATATATTCCTGCGGCCAATGAAGCGAGAAAATTTAATTTTCTCCAGGGGGAAACTAACAATCCAGGCAACCCAATTTATAAATCTCTCATTCTTGGTCCAGGCACTGCCGTACACTCAAATGAAATGTGTTACAAGATCTCGGTATCCCCAGACCCTCTAAGGTTTCCATTTTGGTAGATGCGAAGTGAGCTGGGATTTTATTAGTTCGATAATAACAACACAAACAAAAACGGTTTTTGTAGTGAATTCAATTGGTGACAGACCGGAAAGCCGAAGTCGATTTTCCAAGTATTCATTTCACATTCTACGTAAGGCCCGGGAAGAGGTAGATAAGTAGATAGACGACATAATGTTCGATGTGCACTGCGATCCTGGGTTTATTGTCCCGTCAAAACTCATCGCAAGGCCTACCCGAGATATCCAGCAGTTTCCGGGCTGGCATGAAGTGAATATGCGTAATCTCTAGCCACAGGGAACCCAGATGTTTTTGCCTTCTTTTAGCGACCGCGTACCATTATAAAAGTAGCTAAGTTGTATTGCTGCCGCGGTGGTGTAGTAACGACAGTAATCTTGGAAGCTAATTTCTGCAGCCTACAATGACCTGTCAGTATACTTGTTATATGCCTTGAACTTGTCTAAGGAAGAGTCATTAGATTAAATTGGTACGCCGCAGCACATGTGATTTCTCTCAATTGCCTCTTCCCAGCAAGCGCTTCTCTGAGACTGCTGCTTACTTTGCCAGTATGTAGGCTTCCTCGTAGCCTTACTTTACGCTTTTTTCAAAGATTTTTCCCTTGCCTATGGGGTCTTTTTTGAACTGAGACCTTTTGATTTTATCTTTCACGACTTCTTCGCGGTCTGTTCTACAACGTCAGGTCGGGGATGTGGCACGTACGCATGGCATGGCCGATATACAATAGCGCACCAGCCAATGAAGAATGGTAAACGATCCTCTCACTGAGTTGAAGGCAGTCCACTCGGTCAAGTCTACTGCTCCATATGTTACTATTGGCCAGGTTATCATGGTAAATATATATACTCTGGAAAACATAGAATATGAGTGGTTTATCGAGGAAAATTAAATTATGTTGACCATTTTCATTACATCTAAGCCAAAGTTCTACTATCTCTGGTTAGTGAATGTTCATATTATAAAGGCTCGGAACTCTTGCATTCCCTGTTTTAAAACAAATGAACGATTTGAAAACCCACCGTTAGCCAGTTCAACTGCTAATATTTTTCCGTTATGATTATTCTCGTGACCTCAATGTTATTCTACTTCGAAATGGATTTCAGGTTCCGCTTAGTTACTTTTTTGGACGATTTCTGAAGGTGGTCTAGTAGTTGGAATATCTTTTTAACAGCTTGGCTTTCACTGCAGGCTATTATTTAGTATACAAGCCACTTTAGTTGGAACCATTTCCATAGAGAGATTTCCAGTCTAGTCAGTCCCTCAAGAGAGTGCCTGCCCAGCTAGCAGTTGTTCCAGAATTCAAAGGATATTTGTCTGACAATCATATAAATATTTCTCTGTGTCAAGATATAATATACAAGCCTGAGTCTGCCTGAGCCTGCCTGAATATGTACAATAAAGCAAATTAATGTATAGAATTAACAAAAACAACCACGCTGTCAAGTATAAATAGCGGTTGAATAAGGAAATGAATTAGCAACAAGAGCTTGCGAGGTGTCCATAGCTCAGTGGTTAGCGCTTCTGACTTTGCACATCGATGAGGCGGGTTCGATCTCTGCTGAAGTCTAGAAAAAAGAAGTCTGGTGATCTCCGAAATAGCTTCTACAACTTCTACCGCTTAGACTTTGTTGCTTTTTCCATTTTTCCTAAATAAATCGTGGTTCAAAGCTCAACAAAGTGTATCAAAAAATGACACTAATTAAAATTTGCAATTAGATTTAGTTTTAACTTAAAAGGAATGATTAAACATAATTTTAGAAATGAAAGCAACTTCATTCGCCTTCATGGTGTATGTATCAATTAAAGCGCTTTTGACTTCCTAATTTATTGTTTGTGCCATTGGTAAATACGAAAAAGGAAACATAAGCTACACTCAAATACGATTAGTTACAATGGCGGAATACTGAGAAAAGGTTGGTTTTTTTTTTAGATAAGTAATAAACCAAATTACCCGAAATCAATTTTGCTGACTATTTAAATTTAAAAGCAGAAATATAGTATTTATTAAGCTTTGCTAATTGTGGTTTTGTTTGTTAACAAAATCACGTAAAATTTTCATTACGGCTATTGAATGTATAATTTACTAAGTACTTATATTTCGTTACAAACTTAGTTTAGTTTGTAAGTTTTTCTATTTTTATTTAATATTTATTTTTTTTTACTATTTTCTGTAACTAATTTTATTTTCGCTTTCTCTCCACTTCTCCGTTTCTTTGCAGGTACATTCACAAATCAAAACAATACGATCGGACCAAGCGCATTTGAAAAATAGCCGTTTTGGTGGCGAAGTATTTTTTCTAAATCTCGAAGATGGCAATTTCGGTTGTCAAGTTAATGAGTCTACAGATTATTTACAAATATTCGAATTATCGAAATTATGCGACGGCAGGCGAGATTGTTTTCTCGGTGCCGATGAGCTGAGAGATGAGCTCAAATGCACAAGTGAGTAACGAAGTATAAATAAATGATAATAATAAGTTTACAATTAAATAAGAGCCTTTTTTTGAAAATTATTTGTCTAACAGGGTAATTCGGTCTTATTTTTTATAAGACAATTCATAGGCATTAGGCAAGATAGTTTGAAAGATTTTGTTTGTACTGGCATGAGAGTCTTACACCAAAAACCTTCCTTACAAAGCTTTCATGGTGAAAAGCTCTTTTGACAGATAGCACTGGAGCATGTTCCAAATGGAGATGTATATCATTTTGCTCGCACTGCTCCAACAGTTGCAATGGCCGAGTGAACAAAGCGCTGACGAGAGATCCGAGGTTCGCATCCTCGGACGGAGAAATTTTTTTCTTTTTATTTAATTAATTTTTTTCTATTATTTTAGGATTATATTGAAAAAAATATATATCTAGCCGAAGATGATCTCTGGTCACCACGTAGTAGCGGTGTTTTTCCGGCATTACTTCTCTCCGTAGCGTATCATTCCCAGATCTTATTATCCTAGCTCGTTCCGGCATAGAATCGCCCGTCTATCTTTTGTGTTTTACGACCTACTTTGTGAGAGCTGGTCTTGAGTTACCGCATCTGCATTTCTTCGCACTTGCGGCCATCTTTCCAATAATTGCGATGTGCAGTGCCGACCGCTGCATTATTGGCGAACTTATCAAAACGGAATAAGGGTCCGAGTGTATTTAATTTCAAAGTCACCACCAAAAGACTTTGGTTTTCTCTATTCCCATCTCACAAACCACTAGCATAAAGTGCCAGAAGTTAGAGGCGAACGAATATATGTAGGTAGGAGAAAATGTGCCCGGGGTGGATGTTAGGGTGAGCAAAAGAAGGACATTTGAGGACGTCGGTGCGAGCTTCTTTCCATGGTAACTGCAACTTGCAATCACCACCTAGCCTTCAGAGAAGCAACATTAGACCCCATTTACTGACATAGCGCTATTGAACCTACTGACTTCCTCAGCAACAAGGGGAATGAAAGGATGGAGATCGGATGCTAGATTTAATTTAAGAAAGTTTCAGATACAATTCTTTAGAAATTTTTAATTTCTTTATTTCATTTAGAGCTAAGAATCGGTTGAACTCTTTTGTTTAAACTCTTTGATAAATAATTGCAAAACAGCAGCGCCTTTTTTTATTTACACCGCTACATACATATGTACACTAAATATTGTTACGGTGTTAAATTGTAATTTCCGTTTACGCTTTAATTGCAGATGACTGTGATAAGGATGGCACTCAGTGCACGAATGGTGTTTGCTTGAATGGCGTTTGCCATTGTAACGACGGCTTTGGCGGTTGTAATTGCGTTGAGCGAGGTGAGTGAGCGATAAATCTAATACATACATATGTATCTATATGATTGAGTTATTTTTTCAACGACTACAACTACAAATTGTACGGCATTTACGTAGTTTTGTATTCGTAGTTGTATACAATGTAATTAAGATTTATTGTTAAGTTTTTGAGCGGCGCGAATTGGTAGAAAAGGATTTCCTTCGATTAGACTGTACATAGATAAAGCTTTAATGATTACGAGTGTTGTAACAAATGTATTTATGTAAGATTTCTATTGGAGATCAACAAATATTATTAAGTGTTAAGCGTAAGATAGTTTCTTCGTATGCTTTTACGAATAGAGAGAGAAATATTAAGTAGAATGCAGAGCCGATAGTAGACTTTTCTTCTGTAAATGTTATGAAAATTTCAAATACTGGCTTATTAAACTAACTAAAGCTTCAAAAATATTTAATATGATTTTTAGCATTGCTAACTAAAGTAGTTTAATAATAATTATTAATATAATTAAAGCTTATAAATTAGTAACATCGCTTAAATTTAGTATCTAGGTAGTAACTGAACTAATCTAAAGTGGCTAAGTATATTCATTTATTAATGTAGTAATTAAGGCAAGCCATCGAACAACGTTAGCTTAGGTTGCGGCTGCGAGTAGAATAGTTTGAAACCATGGATCATGACCGCTTTTAAACAATCTACTATGAAGGATCGGGAAATCTCAAGCGAATTTCATGTCCACAGATTTCGTATAATTTTCCAAAATTTCTGAATCCATGAACTTGCTTCTGCTCTTGCAAAGTGTGGTGGTACATATCCACAATAAATGCTTTAAGACTACAGGTTATCGTTCATCTCTTCTTCTGCAGAAGTTATTGTGATGGGTTCTTCCTAGATATCTTCCAATAGCAAGGTAGTCTTTAGTTTTCAGCCTTACAGCTGAAGCTAAGTATTTTATATGTTCAGGATGTATTTTACTTTGCAGCAGGAGCTCAGACTTCTTCACCCAATTATTAGCAATTCCCTTGAGAGATGATCCCCTTATAACGAGCTTAAAGGTATTGAACAGCATGCTTCCTTAGCTGGTAAAAAGAACACTCCTCAGCCATCCTGATTGAGCATCTGAAGCAGTCCGCTATGGTTTTGAGCGATATTCATCTATGAAGTTCCTAGGTCTCCTGAGCAGAATTAGTTCATTTAGCTTCAGATTTTACACCCTTTAAAAATCTTAAGGGCACGAACTGGGATCTCGTGAGTCTATGTTCAGCTCTCCTGCATCTGCAAGGTATTCGGCCTTATCAGTAGTTTTAAAGGGCGGGGTGGGAACCTAGGCAATTGTTAGTGAGGAGCTGCCTATGCATCCTTTCAATGCGCATTTCCCGTGCCCCGGGAGACGGAGTATAGCAGTAAAATCTTGTGTGACCTGTTTAATAAGCATTACCTTGCTTGGAAAATAAACTCTTTCAGTATCTTCAAGTCACCGCAATCAGGCTCCATTAAACATTTCCTGTTGAGAAAAACTCTAAAGTCTCATGACGTTGGCTGGCCCCTATCGTCGCCAGTCTAAACCCTGGAGAGGCTGTTTTTTTCTTCGCATATGAACAGTATTTCTCGTAATTGCCTACCATGTCTGTCTTGACTGTCTTTTACATGACCGTCAAGTCTATAAAGGAGGCATTGATGCATAAAGACTTCACCATGGGTGCCGTTCTCTAAATGAATGAGGGCTTTTAACAATATTCTTCTAGGTCAAACCTTAGATCCTTATTTTGGATGGACATTTTGCGGCAGAATGGAGTCGTGCTACTATGCTGCACTGGGTTGGCAAGACTAGCCGCGAAGTTCGTGCCCGTTCACCCCAATTTGGATTACAGTTATCCTTTATCTATTATTTAATCCAAAGGACGTGAAACTTGTCACTAATTAATTTTGGAATAATAGATTCGCTACAAATTCTTGTAGCATGGAACTCGTCCTGTTTACGAGGAAGTATAAGATACCCCACTTGACTTTTACCCCACCTGGCGCTTTCCGAAGCACTGTTCTAGTCAGAAATCTGGATCGTGTACACATAAGGGCTGCACTCAGACTTAGAGGCACTGGGTGCATAACTGACTCAGGAACTGAACTGCTTAACTGTATCATGTTGCGCTCACAGTAGTTGGAAAATGCGTAGTCTCTCTTTTGGTCGCGTCTGAGTACTTTCTTGCTAGATTTATATGGGATTTTCTTTAAGCTAGCCAGGAAAGGCAGCCCCGATCGGTTACACGGTCACGATAAAAAAGGGAAAACCTTTGTCTACATTGCGTACCACTTTTTGGAGTTCGTCTCAGCACAGCCACCAGTCGAGGACCTACCGAAGTCGGTCAGGAGATCGCCTTAGGTTTACGAAGCCGCGGACTTCAATTCTGTTAAGTTCCATAGGAGTGGGGAGAAGGCGCCACCCACTAACCCAGCGCGAATGCTTGTTCAATGGTAAAAAATACACATAAATATAAGTAGCTAATCTTATTATAAAATCTTGTTAACTATAATTTTTATTAATAACGAAAAATGTAACTAATTAGTTAACCTTTACTAGAAATAATCCGCTCTAAATTATTGTCTGCACATTTTAATGCAGACGAAAGGTTTACACAAAAAAATCTCCGAAGGTAAGACTTTGATTAAATTAAAATAGCACCTTTTTTAATTGCTTTCAATTCTTAGCTTTCCTATTAAGATAATGAATATTAATTTAGCTTAAATATGTAATATTAAAGAACTAATATGAAAAAAAAGGAAAATCAATTTCCGCTAATTTAATAACCAATGAACTCAAACAACACAGCTCGCCAAGAAAATGAAATTTAAATGAACTTTTTACGCTACAAGCTCATTTAACTAGATTTCTAATGCCACTAAAAATTAAACGTTTTTAAGATTGGTAAGAAAAACCATAATCAATAGTAATTACTTAAACACAACCATAGCAGTAAAAGCTAAGCTAAGTAGTTAAAGCTTATTTTAACACAGTAGTTATTAAATTACGAGTAACGAGTTAACGAACTACATAAGCTTACAAGAAAATTAAAAATAAACATAGAATATATTTATTATCATACAACCAAATCAACCGAAACAACTACAACAACAACAAAAACAAAAACAATAACTCAACATACATACATACCTACATACATAAGTACTAAGTATAAAATGAAAAACTCATTATATTCTATAACAACAAAAAAATAATAATAAAAAAATTAACGCCACTGCTGCTGCACTGTTAATTCTAATGCGCTTCATCCTTCACGCTTCCAGATGAAAACGAATGCAAATATCGTCCATGCGACGTGTTTGCGCACTGCATCAACACGCTTGGCAGCTTCACGTGTACCTGCTTTCCCGGCTATCACGGCAATGGGCTTCACTGCGAAGGTAAGTTAATTTTGCACGCTTCGATTTAACACAGCACCACAACACACACATACAAATGTAATTATATATACACACACACACACACTTGATTATATTTTTAAACAATTAAAATTGAGCTTAAATGCTAAGCAAAAACATTATCGTATTTGTATGTAGTGAGTTTCTAAGCCAAAATAAAACTCATCAACAATGGCAATGGCGGCGACACGGCAAACAGCAAACAAAAACATAAAAAAAAAATACAAAAACCAAAGTAATAATTGTAATAGAAAAAATTAGTTTTGAAAAAACTAGAAATAATCACAAAAGCGTTAAAGTCTTAGTTTGCACCTTAATGTTTTTACTTATACAAAATAAAAAACTAGCTACTTACAGCTTACTTACTTACTTATAAACTTAAAAACTGACGTACTTACCAACATAGTACTTACCAACTTACCTACGTTTTTCTTTACGACGCCTTCGTTTTTCTACCTTTTTCATTTTACTTATTTATGTATTTCTTTTTTTTTATTTCTTTATATTTCACTTTATTTGAATATTTTATGTTATGCTGTTTTTCTTTTTTATGGCTACAACAGTGTCCGCTCAGCTGGCATTTTCTCAATTGTTTATGTATTGTGTATCGTAGTAAATATTAACTTACCCAGTGACTTCTTTCTGTTCGCTCGGTTGGTCAAGCAGCAACGTTGAGATATTTCCGTAGTGGCGGCAGCAGCAGCAGCAGCAGCAGCGAGTGGTCATCGTGGAGTGGCCATCTGATCAGCGCATTTGTTTGATTCCCCATTACCAATGTACATATCGCTTGCTATTACGAGGGGCGATCCAAAACTAAGTGCATGAAATGGACACAACTTTGACCCTTTTTTTTTAGCTGAATCAAGTTTTGACGAGATGAGGGGCTTAATCCTTTTGTCACGTGCTCTTTCCAATGTAATAGAGGCATTATTCACACACAACAACACAGTTTGCGCGCCAAGTACCTCCTCAATCGTTGCGCGCCTTTGGTTCTATTTTTCTTCACTCAGCGTTTGTTGTCACATCTTCCACAGAAGCCTGCTCTCAAACACTCCTAAAGCTGCCTCATCGCAAGAGGTTATGCAGTCCCTGCTACTGATTTATACACAGAAAAGTGGAAAAGTTGTAAATATGTACTCGTTGCATGTGATCTATCAAAATTAGAAGCGAGCAAAGAGAACTTTTACCTTTTGTCCGTCCATGTAAATTCTATATCAGCTAAAATGCTTCTCTCGCTGGATGTGTTTTGGTCCAGACTGATTTAAAGCAATGACGGTTAGAAGAATTTAGTGATCTCTACAAATCCGTATAAAATAAATTTAAAGCTCTAAAAATTGTATCTTCCGTGAAGACAGTGTTGGCCTGTCAAATTACAGAGTGTCTTCAAAAGCTTGGTATGCGTACCAACTGTGGTTTATATTAGCCATTACCAAAGTCTAACCCACTCTCTTTTTAACTATTCTACAGTAAGGTTCTTAATCAATAGAGGAAAGCTTGGTCTGCTTTGTGGTTGTTAGGTTAGTGGATATGAAAATCACATCATTTTTAAGTAATTCTAATCTTTGATAAAACAAGGCGTGTGTCCTAGGTACTCATGAAGTTTCATCTGTGAACATCTGTGTCCCGAACTAGACCCGGAAAGTTCCTCAAATAATCCCGGAGTAGATCCGAAATTATCTCGAACTACCCCCCGAAAAAGTCCTGAACTAGCCCCGAAATCGGCCCAAACTATTCTTGAAAGAGTACCTAAGTAGTGCCGAAATGGTCCCGAAAAATTCTCGACCTAAAGACCACTAACTCATTTATTCCGGTTTTAATAGTGGTTTCGATTGCCGAAAGAGATGGCTCAGATGTAGTAGCTTCCCAGCTTTATGAAAAAGTTTAAGCGTTTTTAAATCAAAAACTCGTGAAAACCTACAGCCACTAAGTGGTTTTGATACATTTCCGTGTATCGTACCCACATTAGACCTCTGCTTTAGGCTACCAGTCCACAGCGGTATATTCCAAGCAGAATCGCGCCTATTAAAGGGGCTGCACTCTGCCTTATCGTATCTTATCTTAACCTGCCTTGAGTAACTATATACTCTGATATCCAAGCAGTTATCTGGTAGTAGCTGGGTTTTTGATAAAACAAACTTTCCGCAATAAATCGAACAGAACATTCAGAGCCGCCATTGGAGAGGATTTCTTTTCCACCTTACGGTCACAGCTTACCTTTAAGTTTCGCGAGGTTATTTAACGACATATTCTTCAGATACGGGTACCCACCAGACCAGCACTCCATATAAAACCATGAATCATACTATAGCATTTTACTTGCAGTGAAGAATACTGTGCCTCAATCCTAATAAATAAGCCATCACCTTTTGGCTGCATAGATGGCCCCCTAGGCCTTTCTTCCTTGCCGAAGGTCATACTGCTTTAACTAGCTACAGGCTGAGGAATGTCTTTGTACTATGTGTCCTTTCTATCGTGTTCTGTATGTTAACTAACGCTGTTATATCGAGATTTACAATGTTTAAATTCTCATAGTTTGGAAGTAGTAACAGGTAAGGGGCTTTACTGGACTCGGCTAAAATCCCTTACAGGACCAAATAAGAGGATCAATCTATTATTGCTTCGAAAACAGCACTCGAAGTGGAAGAAACAGAGCTCTAATTGGGGTTCCAGTTAGAGCAGTGAATGAGCCAATGACCAAAGCGCGAAGGCCTCTTTATGTCAAGAGCAGTAATCCATACAATTTCCTTCTGATTTGAACTAAATATGTGAGGGTTACCTTTTCATGAGGTAGTTCTAAACATCTTTCTGTTCTAATGCTGGACGCAATTGAAAATTCGTCTATTAATGAACACTCAATATGAACTTCCTAAACCACCCTGTAATGGATAGTCGAAAAAATATTGATACCTCAAAAGCATTTTCAGATTATATTAAAAAATTCTTTAAGTTTTCATTTTTCAACATCCCTCGTAAACCGAAGCGTTATGCTGCCTTCATTCTATCACACCGAGCCGCAGCAATAAAGCCAAAAGATGGAGTGAAAAAAATAGATAAAGAAAAAATGTATATCAGCATGAAAAGGCATTAAGCGAATTCTATAAAAGCAAGCAGCTATAGAATATAAATATTTTTCTAAGTAAGCTATAGCATAACGGTTTCAGCTATAAAATGGCTTTGAAGAAACAGTAGAATAATAGAAGAAAATGTTAAGAAAAGAAAAATGTAATAAACAAAGAGAAGGGGTTTGGAGCCAAGTAGAATGGCGGAAAAACGGCGGCGCAATGCTAGGTGATACTTATCTAAGCAGACATGCATACACTGACATATTATATTCAAACACGCAGACAAACAATTTTGCGGCATAATGCTATAAATATGACTTTAAACGTATACAACTATATTTATTTAGACATATTTACGCATACACAGCAAGCGGCATTGTAAAATGACACGGCATATATGTAAAAGTTGACTTGGACCATGGCAGCGTAGTGGCAAGGCTATAGCAAGAACACATGCACACAAGCAATGCTCATACAAAACAAGCCTTATAAACGATCAACATAAATATGAATTTGTATACAAATCGTAGCTTTGCAATAAACATCAAATAAAGAACGTATGCAAACTAGATACTCGCACCTAAGAAAGCGCACAAGCTGCCAAACAAAAGCGTAGAAAGAACAACGCCTAGGAAGCGCTTAAATCTGTGCAAGTTTACTAACATTACATATAAGTAGTTTAATACATATAACTCGCTACACAGGTAACTCGCTACTGGCTCACACCATAGGCTAGCCATACTTGGCTATCTAATGCCCATCCGCACAATTCTTTCCACATAAATATTTGTCGTTATATGTATTACTCGTACAGCTGTTGCCGCAATGCGCCACAAACAAACCGGTCACCATTAGTGTCTCCTGCTATTAAATTACGTAATAAAGCGAAAAAAAAGTAGCACAAGATCATTTCCTAAGTTATTCAGTTTGGTTGCCTACGACGAGAAATGGAAAAAAGTAGAATTCGTTTTTATGGTCCGCATCTTAGACACTGGCAAAGTTTAAGAAAGTGTAGCTAGAAGAAAGCCTTTTACAAGAAAGTATGTATTTAGATACATAGATAGATAATTGCACGGATTTGTCAGAAAAATGGACACATAGAGAAAGGAATTTTCTATATCGAAAAGGACCTTAGTAGTCGAATTCCTTATTTTGAAGAGTTTGACCAATGATTCTTTGAGGTAGGTGAATCTTTGTATAACCAAGGAAAGGCAGTCAGCAAACATTGTCTTCAAAAGTTTCCTCGTCCTCAAGGCTGAGCTGGCATTCCGACTCTCCGGCTACACCTATTCGGTGCATATAAAATCATTATTGGTTGTGACCCGTTTCGGTATAATTGCATAACATCCCATCTGTTGAAGGGGCAGCCAAAGAGCTTGGCCTTTCTATGGGCCCCCACATAGGAATTATGGATCATCTATGGCCACAGATCGGATCCGGTGCAAAGAAGGCAGTAAAGGATCCTTCTCGCGCCAACTCGTCAACGCCTTCGCTGCCTTCGAATCTCGGCTCGGGTAAATTTGTGGCAGGTTAGAATTGTTAAAGCTTCAGCCTGGAACATTGTGGGCCAGCTGCCTATTAGTAGATAAATATCTACATTGACGGTCAAGCGGCCAAGATTGCGATCTTAGCTGATCCTGGAATCCCTATCGTCTATCCTGATCGCCTCGTATTATTTACAAATAAAGCTGAAAGTCGCGTCGTAGAAAGTTGCTTCTTGTGTAAAAAGTCTGCAAATGAAAAATTTCTAGACCAGATCCGGATCATTTCAGGTCCGTTTCGGGACCTCTTCATTTAGGGAATAGGTCATTACCGTAGTTCAGGACCATTTCTTTACTAGTTCAGGACTATATTTAGCACCATTTGGGACTAGTTTGAGATCATTTTGGGGTTCAATAAGGGACTAACTGGTTCAGTACT